CTGTTATTGGATTACTATATTTATGTGGTATACATAAATCATCCCATATGTATGCAAGAGATTTATGGAGCACTGATGGAATAGAAATATTTCATAGGACCATATCCCATAATCGTTTGTTTCTTACGAGATGCATAAGATTTGACAATGTTAGAAACAGGAAAATGAGAAAAGAATGCCCCAATAAGGTATGTATTTGACTCATTTGTGCATAATTGTCAGAAGTTTTACACAGCTGGATAATTTATTACATTTGACAAAAGACTTAAAACCATTTAGAGGACACTGTTCATTTCGACACTACATGCCAAAAAAAGCCAGGTAGGTTACGGAATAAAGAATTTCAGTGTTAGTTGATGCAAGAACTTCCTTTACATGTAATTTAGAAGTATATGCAGGTACTCAGCCCCAAGGTCTGCATCATGTAAATAATTCAGCAGATGAAGTCGTCAAAAGGTAAACAAAAAAGTTAAATTCTGGGAGAAATGTAACAGTTGACAACTAGTATACTAGTTATGAACTTGCAAAATATCACCTTCAGAAGTGGCATTACTCTAGTGGGCACACCATAAGAAAGAACAAAAGGGAAATACCGAAAGAGCTTACGAACAGTAAAAATCGTAAGGTGCATTCATCCTTGTTTGCATTCCAAAAAGACATGGCTTTATTGTTGTATGTTCCTTAAAAAAAAATAATAATAACAACCTCTTATCTACAATGCATAACGACGACATTATTGACCAAACAACAGGCGAGGCTAAAAAAAAAAAAAAAAAAAACTGAAATAATAACATTTTATAATTTGACAAAAGGAGCTGTTGATGTGGTGGAACAAATGCCAGCAGCGTATTTATTCAACTGCAAGAATCGGCAAAAGACAGCCAATGATTCTGTTCTTTACACTGTTACATACTGATGCAATCAAAGCTCAAATATTAATCCAATGCTCAAAACATCCATCCTTACAGCACAAGGCACAGTGTATGCTTGAAAGATCTTGCAACAGATTTGCTGAAAGAATACACAGCAGAAGGTACACTGTACCATGTAATTATTAATTACCTTAATTATTTAGTTCTGAGACGATGTAGTTAGTGTTCGTTGTAATTCGTAAGCCTTGAATTACAACTTCAAGCACTTTTTCATCTGGTAATAGGAACATGAGTGCTTTTAATTTTGCTTCTTCAACAATTTTGCAGGCATAACAATGTGTGTCTACACCAGGAGGTTCTATATGTAATTTTTCACCTTTCAGGGTCTCGGTAATTTTTTTGCCAGTTTGTTTGCTTAAATTAGCAAGAAATTCATCTGCTTTGGTAGCATTATCCACAACAATGGGTGGAACTTTATTGCTGTTACGAGATTTACTTTTTCCCGATCTTTTGGTCTCCAAGGGTTTATTTTTATTTATTTTGGATGTAGCGATATTTTTAGCTTGCTGGCTAGTGGACGGTTCGACATTGTCTTCTGGTTCTTCAAGCTGCATGATGTCATCATTAGCTTCTAAATGTTGGAATTTATTTTTGATTTTAATATTACTATCTTCATTTTCACTGTCTGAAGAGTCAGTAGATGGTTTATGATGTTGCTTTCTTTGTTTAGAAAAAGCTCCCCCATTTTGTATTGATTCGCAAAATTGTTTTAGGTCTTCAATTTGTTTCTGAAGTTGATCGTAAGCTCGTTGATAGTTTGAGCAGCTTGAGCATTTTCTTGCTAAGTGTTTTCGCCAATAAGAAATGTAGTTCTTTAGGTTTTTCTGTTGGGAATTCAGATGTTTGACTCGGGGCATTTTGGTATCAAAGATAACTTGTCTAGTTGATGTGACACCGTTAGAGTAATTTTATTACTTAATATATGATAAGTTGTGGTTTGGAAGGAACAGTTGCAGAATTGTTGTTAGGTGTATCAGGTGAGGTAGTAAAATTGTTCATGTTCGATGTATGCTGCACAGTCATACGATCTAACTGAAAAGAAGACTGGCATCCCTAGATGTTATGCACACCTAGGAAAAGAAGAAAAATAAAAGAAGTTATAAGCCACTAAAAGACCCAAAATCTTTTCTGTAGACTTGGAAATCTCATAAGACCTCTGACTAAAGACAACAAACACTTCAGCTTGGACAAAACAGGTGAGATTATGCAATCTTTAGGGAAAGCCGCAAGAGCAGGCGGCCATACTAGGAATCAATCACAGCAGCAGGCGCAGTTGTTCAATCGTAGTTCAGCAGTGAACAGCAGCTATACTGGTGGCGGGAAAAATCCAAAAGTCGATATGCAGACGATCGTAGTGAAAACTCAAAGTGGGAGACGCAGACGATACAACCAGCTCGAATCGCCCAAAGACCCACAAAAGAATGAATGATGCATTTAAATACACATGGATTAGGCACTTCTGAATTACATCGTCAAACGTCCAAGTAGCGCAATTTAGCACCAATTATAGACAAATATACCCTTTAGAATTCCATTGTATAATTGACAAACGTAGCCAAAATTTTCACCGATGGTCGTCAGAATACATAACTACCACCTTATATTTGTGATTTCATTAATCACTATCCAGCAGCTGCAAAGCTTTAAATATCAGCTATATAGAATCTTTTGCTTGATATGAAATAAAAGACATCAGTTCTTAACACCCAACTACTCATTAAAAGACCATATTTCTTGAAAATATATGTAACACAATAAAACACATTATGCTGTATATCACAATTATAAATCCTTTTCATATTAATATAGTCACAAAACCAAGATACACTCAAAACTGCTTTTGTGTGGTACTAGTAGTCATATTATCAGAATACTACCGCACACAAAAAAAGACTGCACAAAAACAGGTTTAAGCGTAGTGAAGTTATGGCTCTAGTGTATAATTGTGCCCCTTCGATTATCGACATTTTTTTGTAAAATTTTGGCGATGAAATCTCATTTCTGTTTACCATGATAGTTTAACTTTGCTTTAGCCCCCTGATTTTTTTTTAATAAAAATAAATTGTACATGGTTAATTTAAATTTAAAGCTGTGCACAATGCCTAGTTTGTGCAATTCTGTGATGTTTTTTAAGTGAAAACAGATCGATGTGTACATGGACACAGGTTTATGCAGTTCTTTGATTTCTTATTTTGCTTTTGTGTAGCGGCCATCTTGAAATTGCGTCTTCGTGGCTCCGAACTTGGCGTCAAAAAAGAATCGCCAAAAAACAAGGGGCACCCAATTGTAAACTTTTACCAACGCTATTTCGAAGAGAGAAGTTAAGAACTTTTACTTCATTAAATAAGCTCAAATAGATAACATTCTATATATATTTTGATACAGATAAATTAATTTTAGTTATGCCAAAGAGGCAGTTTCTTCAATGATAAAACAAAAAAAAAAAAAAAAATATGGTACAACTCTGATATACGCCCTAATTTCACCAAATGTGGCAATATGTGTTCTGCGCTGGTTTTTGGTGCAATTGCGTGTTGTAGGGCAACCCTGTTGACATTGAAAAATCTTTTGCTGGAGCTCGTTGTTTCCCTTCATGCTTGTTGGTTCGCGTCTGTGTCTCAGAAGGTGCAAGTTGTTGAATTGAAGTTCGACAAAAGGAAATATCATTGTGGCCATCCTGTTGAGCGGCAGTGGGTATTAGGAGGTGTGGAAAGAGGGTCTGGAGGATTATTTTTAGTGGCTGTGCAAGATGGAAATAGGGATTTGTGATTTTATTTATTCATGAACCATAGTATCAATTTTCTGGATAGTGTGTCTGCCTGTCATATAAATATGATAGTGATTACGTGTCGGCATGTTAATGGCGGTATGAAATTGGTATTTCTGCTGTTCGAAAAGCATTAATTCATGGTAAGTGCATTTTATTTTATTCTTATTTTGTACAATGTTATGTTCATTGCTTGTTTAATATGAATTTCTGTCATTATTGTTTTTTTAATTGTTTGAAATTTATTTTAGTTAATTTTGTTGATTAGTGCGTTTTGTTGATTGTGCAATTCGTAGATATTTTTTAGAGTTGAAACAGAACGCTGTGTACATGGTATTCTTTGAAATTTATTGTTATGTTAATTTATTAAAGCAAGGTGTGCGGAGTTTGTAGATTCGTTTGATGCCTAAATTGTGCAATTCGCAGATGTTTTAAATTTAAACAGGATGCTGTGTACATGGTATTCTTTGAAATTTATTGTTGTTATGTTAATTTATTAAAGCGAGGTTGTGTGTAGTTCATAGATTCTTTCGTTGCCTAGATTGTGCCATTTGTAGATTTTTAAGTTAAAATATATCGCTGTGTACATGGATTCTTGTCAAATATTTTTGGTTAGAAACTTTACGTTTTTGCTATCTAAATTTTTTGTTTTTGTTTCGGATTTTTAGCTTAAATTGTGTGTTCAAAGCGTGGAGTTTCTCGCCAAAAATGTTTGGGTAAAATCCTAGTATATGGTGCAGCCTTGGCGTGACTTATCGCCAACACCAAAAATGATCCAAAGTACGTCTATATATAAACTATACACACATAGTATATGTATATACAGACATAGTATATATACTATTATACATAGTATATACTATGTTTAACTGTATATTTCTTTGAATGAGCGGTTAACTACTCATCGTATATGTCCCGCTTTTACTGCTCATCATAAAGTCGCCAAAAGTAGCCAAATCCTGTGCGCACCAGAAACTAGGATTAAACCAATGTTTGGCGAGAAATTTGGCGACTTGAGGGCGCACATCAGAGTAGTTCCAAAAATACATTTGTTTCATCATTTTGTAATAACTATTTTAATAATGCGAATATCAAAAGCTATTTAATCAAAAACAGTTAATATTACCTTTCATAGTTATGACAACTACATTTCCCCATACCCAGAATTATCCTACAATTTTCAGAAATTTCGGAAGTGCTTTTAAACTTTTAGATAGTTTTCTGAAACGTCAATAAAAAAATGTCGTTTACCATTTTATTTTTGACATACACATTAAAAAAATCAATTTAGAATTACTTACCTCAGCAGTAAGTATACCAACTTGTTCCGATTCATGTAGAAGACCAAGAGAATTATTTGTGCTTTGCAATGTCCTTTCTTCTATACGTCGACGTTCTTCTAACAACTGCATTCTTCTATTTTCCCATTCACTTTGTTCACGTCCTAAATTATTATTTGCTAGCATATAACCAGACTGTCCCTGCCGAGGATGGTTCAAAAATTCAAAATCATCCACTTCTTCATCATCATCCTGAAACGGATTTGAAGATTTCTCCTGTTTGGCCATATATATAATACTGAAATCGATAATCACAAAATTAAGAAATCCTTAGATAACTAAGTCAGCTGCAAATGAAATAGAAAAAGCAACTGCGATTTCTTTAACCTCTTGAATCAGTAATACAAATAAAATACGACACATTGAACTAACTTCATGTCAAGGCTGAATAGATAAAGTCGCAATTTAACAATCACTCTTCACTATGACGCTGGCAAGTTACGTACTAAGAATAAAAAGATTTAAAAAAAAAAAAATTTAAAGAAAAGTGACTCACCAATTTGCTTCTAAATAGCAATTTTGGGGTGAAGTGAAGTTTAGAAATTTTTCAGCTGCTTTTTATTTCTCTATTAACAATATCTGAAATAAATATACAAATCGATATAAAGTTTTAAAAAATGCATATATTCAAAAAGTATAATAAAAGTATAAGACACAATTTCTTAAATTGTTTAAAAATATTTCCAAAGTATATTTTAAAGTATATTATTAAAAATATACCAAAAAGTGTTTTAAAAAAGTGTAAAATCAATCATATATAAATTTATAGTATAAAATTATTGCACGATTTTATTGTTTTAATTCCTGAATTTGGCATTTTCATTTATTACTGTTTTCATATGTTAATTTTCCAGATGCTTGATGTAGCAACCAAATTGACGTACAAATAGGTAGTCTGCTATTGCTGCGCTAGTCGCGTAAATGAAAACTTTCGCATTTTAAGGAACTTTAAATTGCCGGGCAAAACTTTCTGTTGCTTGAAAAATTATTCGCCATAGCATAAAAATTAAAATTTAAGCTAGAGTATTATTTTAATTAGTAGCTTAAAAAAAATGTTACGTTTTTCCGAATATTTTTTGAAGTCACCTATCATTGGGATTTTGAAAAAAAGGTGTGTTCCTTATTTATATAGACGCCTCTAAATTGATTAATTATAATACAGTAATAACTTTTAGTCGTATTTTTTGTTATACTGTGTGTTTGCTATGTAGGAGAAAAAAACGACTTCTTAAATTTATATTTTAGCTATAAAAGTTATTAAATAAATAAGTTTTAATTACTATCAGACAAATTGCATTTTACAACCTTTATTTTGTGTACATATAAAATTTTAAATTATAGCTATAACAGATTAATATAATATTTAGTTGTAACAAACAAAATAATGATTTTAGTATTTATTGTTTTATTAATATGTTGCATTTTCTTTCCCTAAAATAATAAACTGTAGCTAGACAGAATATCTGCTGAAATATATATCTCAAATTATTTTTATTTTGTGCACGCAAAATATCTTATTTTTTTGTTAGCATCTTACTATCAATGTTTATCAATATATAAATCATTTTTAATTTCTTAATATTCTGTATTGAAAACCCTTTCCCTCCCATATATGTAATGGTAGGGTGCTTTAGATTATTTTCCACCAATTAGGTAGACATTGAAAACATTTCTCTATTTCAGTCACAGGCCTAGTAAGGTAATTATATAAAAAGCATGCTGAGTTAATGCTTTTTTTTTTCTTCCGTGTATATGTAATGGTAGAGTGCTTTATATTATTTTCCACCAATTAGGCAGACATGGAAAACATTTCTTTATTTCAATCACAGGTCTAGTAAGGTAATCACAGGTAGCTGTAGCAGGGTTGGTTGCCAAATTTTCGTCAAAAAATCGCCAAGTTACCATAATCCGAAGATTAACCGATTGAGCATCCAGATCAGAGAACAACAACTAAATACTATATGAAATTTTAATTATTCTGTGTTCTTCATTCAGATTTCCTACTCATGTACTCACATTTCAATTACATAAAGTTACAATATCTTGAAAACATATAATATCAAATTCATTGGAATGTTTTCATTTGAAATAGTAAATATAGATTTTAATGCATTTTGAGAATGCATTCTATCATGTATTCCTTGAAATAAGTATGTTGCTAAAATAACATATCATTATTAATATCCATCTGAAACATACTTTATAAAAATGAAATTTTAACTTTTTAAATTTCCATCTTGAAAAGCACTTTTCAGAAACTCTTTTATATGAGCGTCAAAAGAATTACCAGCAGCACATCTTAGCCTTAAACACCTTTAAAAATTACAGTGAAACCTTGGTTCATAAATTTAATTCATTCCTTAACCTGACATTACTCATGCAGGGTATGAAATACCCACCACCCACAATTTAATATTCCTTTCTAATGTTTTTTGGGAAATGGATGAGTTTTTGTATAGCTGACTCTAAGGTCATAAACCTTGAAGGAGAAGTAACCTGTTGCCAAATTCTAAGAATAGTTTTTCAGATATCACCTCGGCAGGTGTTTTGTACTCTGCACAAGTATTTATGTTATTGTTCTGAGTATGCAAAGAAGCTTTCAAATTGTATTTCAAAAAAGTGTTGCTTCTTCTTTGGGAGCTTAGTATCTTCTTATCCCTCTTGAGCTAATTCAAACTTCAGTAGAATGCACACATATTTTTAGCCAATCAATAAAACAACAATTTTCCCGAGAGAGGGTTGCAAAAGAGACATATGAAACTGAAATTAAAACTTCTGCTGGGTTATTATATATTTACGGTATACACAAATCATCCTATATACAAGTAAAAGATTTCTAGGCAATAGGTGCATCTGAATAGAAATATTTTGCACAACTGTGTTCACAAAACGTTTAAATTTTCTGATGAGATGTTGACGCTTTGACGATATTAGAACTTGTTGGAGTAGGAAAGATTTGGAAAAGTTGGCTTCAATGCGAAAAATTTCTGAAACATACGTTGAAAACTGTAAAAAATCATATAATATCGGAGAATATGTTACTATAAATGAAAAACATTTAGGGAGTGATGTCCATTTCGGCAATAATATGCCAAAAAGACCATCAAAATATGATACAAAAATTTCCACCCTTGTCGATTCTAGAACATTTTACACATGGAATAGGGAAGTATATACTGGTCAGCAGCCAAAAGGACAATTTCAATTGTATAACAATCCAAGTAGTGTTGTGAAAAGGTTGACGGAACCTCTTTACAATTCGGGGCGTAATTTGACAGTAGATAATTAGTATTGTTATGAAATGTCCAAGCGCGGTAAGATGGCTTCCCAGCAAAGCAGTTTTAGGGTTGCCATAAAATAGCAAAGGGAGGCAGGGTTGTCACATTTGGCGAGAAATCACCCATTTGGCAACAAAATTGGCGTCATACCATGGACGGTTGGAGAACCTTCTGGAACAAATTCTTACCGGTTTAGCCCGGAATGTTCTCGAACACAAGCCGAAAGCTATATAAACCCTGCTGGTCCGCAGTTAGTGTAGTGTGTGCTTCATCGAGAGGGTGAGTCAGATGCCTCGTTTAGAGTGTGAGAGAGTTGGTATCGAGTTGGTGTCTTGTCTAGCGAGTCAATCCTTGCGGAGTCGATGGAGTTGACAGCCAGGCAGCGAGTGTAGAGTGGGTCATCAAGTGCACTGAAAGAGTCCAATAGTGTATTGCGGTAGTGCACTGTCAAGAGAGCGTGTTGAGCTTCGGAAATGACTGAACCGAAGAGCCAGAAGCTGTGCTTTGTGTGTCGTTGAGTGCATATCGAGTTGTAGCGTGGAGAGTCTCGAAAGTACATGGAGTTCCGAGAACGACCAAGCAAGAGTCGGGAGCTGTACTCTGGTGCTTTGCAGTGAAGCTGTCTCTACCGTGATAGCCTAATAACCTGAAGGCCGTGTCGCTGATTGGTCCAGCGTGTTTATAGCAGTTCTTTGATGACTGTAAAAGTGACTTTGGAGCTGTCCTGATTGATACTGGCTAAATAAAATGTGTTTTGGTACTTCATCAAGTAGTATTTTCATTATTCACTCCAAATCTACTAACTCTGTATGAACGTGAAGGAAGAAAATAACATAACAACTGGTGTTGGAAGAAAAACGCAACAGTATACATTCCATCCACTTTCACAGGAACTTCTGAAGAAGAAAATAACTATCGTTGGAAACATAAGAAAAAATAAAAAGATTCCTCCATTTTTTTTTTTTTTTTTTTTTTTTTTTAAATTCAATGAAGAGAGAGATTTACTCCTCAATGTTTGGTTTCCAAACAGACACAATACAGTCAAAAGTCGTTAATTCGGACACCCATAAACCGGACCTCAAAGCTACAAACTTTTCAAATTGTTGCCACCAAATATTAGAGCCCTGTATTATACTTAAAGAAATTAAATAATGAAGAATCTGCATAAATGTATGTATATTTCTTGCATTGTGATAAAACAATGGTACCTAGAGCTATCAAATTTTGAAACATACATTTCCACCTGAATATGGGCATCTGGAAGCCCAAATTTGGAATTTGTTTGATTTTTCTATTTCATATTTTGTAAAACTTAAATAAATTTTTGATTAACAAACTCGATTTCAAGGCAAGCAATGACAACACTATAAGGGAAAAAAAAAATTTTTTTATCTCCAGCGTGCAAGACTGTGTATCAGAAATTCTAAAGATATACTCATTTTAAAATTATTTTGCGATATTGCTCTTGAACTGATTTTATGGTTTAGGTGCAAAGATTATGTTATTTAATGAATAAAATTAGCACACAAAATTTTAAAAAAGCTTCCCTTTGGGCATAATATAAATTCTGGAGGCTTTCGATTTTTTTTTATTTAGTTATTGTTTTTATCTTTTTCCCTATTCAAAAATATGGAAGATTGTAATTATGACTGTATTCATGTCATATGGACAGCATCTATAGAAAGGAGTTTCTTTTTTAACTCTCACATGATTGATATTTAAGAACCCTTTTTCTAGGGCTCATGTAAATTCGATTTAAAAATCTGACAGCTTTCAGATCCCCCCCCCCTTAAATCTCAAGGAAACAGTTTAAAAGTGTTTATTGTTTTCAGCTTTTGAATTTTACATTCTGGAAATTAGGTACTGCTGCATGAGGAGAATATTTGTTGCAAGTCCTGTGGATGCATGATCTAGTGAAATAGACATACAGCAATAACTCTTTTCTTTATTACATAACTGTATAGATTTACAATGAAATCCCAATACAGCAAGTTTTTCCTTTTCTAGCATTTGGACTGCTATGTTTAATGGCTCATTTTAAATATACTCTATTTTGGAATTTCTGGGAGATTAGGCTGATTAAGCTGGAATTGTTTTAAATGTTAAACTGAAATCAGAATGTAAAGATTAGATTGTAATTTTTTTAACATTATAATTTCACTTTTTTTTGTGCTTTGAAGTTTTAATGTTAATTGTTTGAGATATTAGACTATAATCTGATGTTCTCAGATTGCATTTAAAATTTTATTTATTTATATTTTATTATTATTATTAATTGTACTCCTGTGCCTTATTGTGTGCAGAGGTAAAATTCAAAATATTTAAAAACCGTTCGATTTGCTGCTTAAATAAGCGATAAATTATCATGTATACAGTGATAAATTGCTTAAATAAATATTACAATTCAATTTTGACAACCTGCTCGCTGAATTAAAAATATTGTGGGAATCAGCTGAATCTTACCATTAATTGTGGATATTTAGCTTTTTAACTGTATAAGACTTTTTTTTAAACTTAAATGTGTTACTACTTATTTCTATTTAATACTTTCTTCGTTTGCTTTTAAATACCGCCATGCTGCGTAACTCTGTGGAATTGTTTTATTACAAAGAGAGGTCATACATGTAGAAACGCAAAAAAAAAGCATACTGCAGAAAATTCTGAGGGAAAATATAATAGAAAACTGCACAGATGAATTTGAGAAATTCATCAACGAAAATAAATGAATTCTATTGAAAACTCTGTTGTGCTATTGCAGACTATTTTAATCACACGTGTTGAAGTTCTCCACGAAGCGGAAATGCGTTGCAGTACTCTTCTTTTATTTGTTTAT